TCATTGATTCTTGCTTTCTTCTTAAAATTTCTGCATATGCATTTATGACCTGTATATATTCAATGTTAATGTGATTATGATGTGAATGTTAATATATATAACCTTTAATGCACAATGTACAAAGCACCATACATTGTTTGTTATGGACTTGTCTTGAATTATTGACTCAAGATCGTCATAGAAAACATAAGTCTCCTTGGTGGTTCCTCGCCAAACAGTTAACCTACATTTAGAATTTAGATATAATAAGACAAGGATGGTATGTAAAGACATAGAAGTTGTTTGAAATATGCTTACCCATAACCTCCATTTTTATGCATATTCCTTATCTTTTGCTTGTCTTGTTCAGATATGATCTTCCAAACCTCATATTGGACAACCTAAGCTTATTATGCTTAGGACACTTAAAGTCTCGAAGCTTGTGCAAATAGCCTTCAAAATCTGGATCTATAATTTCACATTGCTTCTCAATGTCATTTTGTTCCAAATTTTCCCATTTCCTTTTTTGTTTGTCACCCTTTTTGTCTTGATATTCAAAATCAGGCAACTTTATTTCTTTCCTTTTTTTTTTGATTTTGATGCACTTCACCAAAGATGTAGGAGTTTTTTGGGTCTTTTTCTTCAAATTTTGCTTCAGTTCCACATCCATAGTCTCCTGGTTTATTTGTTGTGTGACAACATGTACTACATCATCATCAATTTTATCTTCTAGCATAGTTTTCTCAAGTTGGAGTATAGTCTTCTCAATTTGGAGGTCAATTATGGAGCTGCTTTGCCTTTCTATCTCTGCATTCTTATTGTCAATTGTAAGTTTGACAGAGGACAACTCATTCTGAACTGTTGGATTCTCCTTCTGGTTACATATTAATGTTTCCAGCTTGAAGATGATTTTGTCTTTCATGTCATTTGCTGTCTGCAGATTCTAGTTCTCAATTTGTAGTTTCTCGATGAGGTCCAATGCTTTTTGATGGTCAGTGACCATTTTCTCTATAATGTTGTCCTAAGCAACCTTTGACACAATGACTTGATGTACCCCATGTGTATGTAGATATGCAAGAGTCTCTGCACCTTTCTCAATATTAGCTTCATCATGTTCATTGCTCTGAAATTCTACTTCATTGCCAAACTCTGTATCAAATGCCTCATCAATGTCATCCTCTTGTATGCTCATGTCCATTTCTTCCTCAATTTTGACTTCATGATGAATAATACTCTCAGGTGCATCTTTTTGATTCTCCTCATCCCGAATTATTGTCTGTGGCAACAGTGTGCTCTCACAGTCTGTCAGTATAAGTTTCTCTATATAAACCTGGTAATAGAGATTACTGTTAGTTTTAGTACAATAAATATTATTCACATTGGATAATGTTGGTATCTAACCTCATCATCATTGATTGACGAGAAAGACAAATTCTTCACATTCTTGTGAAGTTTTGTTAGATTCCATTTGAGAAATCGAGGTGCTGCATTTTGCAAAATTGGTTCTACTATTTTGGTACGCTCACACAGCCAATACTACATAAAATGTAACAAATTGTCAATTATATGATTGAACATTTTCAATGTAAGATGAAAATTAGACTACAAACAGTCACAATGGGAAGACTTATACTTCAACTATGAATGTCAAAACAAAACCTTGATAATGTGACTCAAGATAATCAATGTAATATGGAAAACAAACTCCAAACATTCACAATTTGAAGATTCATACTTCAAAGACAAATGTTAGCAATATGACAATTCATTTAATGTAATCAATGAAATGTCAAAACAAATTTCAACTACTAACAATGATTTTTTGAGTCTATTGGAATATCAACAATATGGCGCAACATAATCAATGTAACAATGAAACTAGACTCCAATCATTTACAATGTGAAGATTCACACTTGAAACACAAATGTCAATAATGGAATATCAATAATAAGACTCAAAATAATCAATGTAACATGGATAACAAACTCTAAACATTCACAATGAGAAGATTCATACTTCAAACACAAATGTCAATAATGGAATCTTGACAATGTGACCATTCACCCAACATAATCAATGTGATGTGAATATTGAAATATGAAGTATATAATTGAACATTTTCAATGTAAGATGAAAATTAGACTCCAAACATTCACAATGGGAAGACTTATACTTCAAACATGAATGTCAAAACAAAATATTGACAATGTGACTCAACATAATCAGTTAATATGCATGTCAAAAAAAAATTATGGTTATAAACTAATGTGAATGTATCGTTTCAGACATACACATTAATAGTTATGTGAGTGAATATAGTATTGCATACCATTAAAGCCATAACACAGCCAGTCACTCGTTCTGGACGTCAATGATGAAGTTCAATGGAATTCATTAATGTGGGCTTGATGGTTTTTGCCCAATCATATTCCATCATCTTGTCCAAATGCTCCATGTGTTGATAGTATGCCATCCAATTGTCTCGCCAGTTGTGGAATAAAAGAGCTTTAAACAAGCATACAAACTTATCAACTTAGCAACCTCCTCATTATCTGATTTCTTTCTCCCAACCAATGCATCATCGATCAAAGATCGGATATTTTTTGATGTAAGCCTTTGTGTGTCCTTGCACTTCTTGCCGATAAGTCCAAATGTTGGCTTCGAACCTTATGTAATTTCCATTGGCACATATCCGCAGTCTATTCCAAAAATTAATTTGACGTCATGTGTAGACAATTTGACAGATTTGGGGACAATTTTGAAACAATTTGATGCAGGGTTGTATGTCTCTATGATCTTTGCTATCACATCGTCATATTTCATGCATGATGATAGTTCAATTTTTGCGTTTATCAGTGCATCAAACATCATCCAAAATGGAGTTCTCTTCAAACATTTCAACTGCCCATTAGTGAACTTCGTTGTTGACATCAACTTTACCAAGCCAGTCATGTTTGAATGGTAGTTCACCTTGTTCATGTTTGAACGGTAGTTCACCTTGTTCATATCGACATTGAGTTTCACATCAGCTGGAGCTGTCTCTTCCTTATGGGTTTCTTCTTTTTTTATTTTTGTCTTTGGTGTTGATATAATATCTGTCAATAAAATGTTAAACAAAAATAGAAACAAGACATTAAGAGGAATGAGTAATTAACAGTGCTATTAAAATGAATATTGATGAGGACCAAATTTCATAGCATCACTCATAGATAATATGTAAAGAATTAGAGAATATGACAACATGTAAAAATTATTTTGAATAAAAATGTGAATATTGGAATATTAACTATATGATTGAACATTTTCAATGTAAAATGAAAATTAGACTCGAAACATTCACAATGTGAACATTCATACTTGAAACACAAAATGTCAATAATGGAATATTGATAATGTGACTCAACATAATCAATGTAATATGGATAACAAACTCTAAACAATCACAATAAGAAGATTCATGCTTCAAATACGAATGTCAATAATAGAATCTTGATAATGTGACCATTCACTCAACATAATCAATGTGACATGAAAAATAGACTCAAAATACTAACAATGAGAAAATTCCTACTCAAAAATAATTAGCACATTATTTTGAATGAAATTTGTGAATATTGAAATATCAACTATATGATTGAACATTTTCAATTTAACATGAAAATTAGACTCGAAATATTCACAATGGGAAGACTTATACTTCAATCATAAATGTCAAACGAAAACCTTGACAATGTGACTCAACATAATCAATGTAACATGGATAACAAATTCCAAACATTAACAATGAGAAGATTCATACTTCAAACACAAATGTTAGCAATGTGACAATTCACTCAACATAATCAATGAAATGTTAATACTAACAATGGGACAATGAGAAATAGAGCATTCATAAACATTCCTAAATGTTGAGTCCCTAAACACTAAAGCTGAAAAACAGAGCATTCATAGATGTGACATGAAAAACAAAGCATTCATAAAGAAGAAAATTATAATTTGTAATTTTCAAAGGCTAAATGTCGAATCAATAAACATTAAACATTGAAATGTGAATATTTAGATTTTAATGAAAGAATATGAACTAGTGGATTTAATGTCAGAAAATAGTATGAAATTGAAGAAAACAACTTATTATTGTTCACCATTGTAGATATTGATTGGAGTGAGGATCGCACTTGCCGGAATGAACAGTTATCAACAATCTTAGTTGTCGGAATGGATTGTTCTTGGTGATCAATGTTGCCGGAATAAACAGTACTCCGTGATTTTTGTTGCTGGAATGAACAGGACTCGCCAATCGTAAGGTTTTGGTTGAACAAGAAGGAGTTCAACGTTAGGGTTCTAATTTGGGGAAAAACAAAATTGTAGAGTTGAAAGAAAAAAGGCGCCTATGATATGATATGAACATAAGGGTAATATCGTCTTTTTACCGAGAACAGGACTAAGTGAAATATTAAAATAAATTTTGGACTAATTGAAACATGAGTAATTAAAGATGAATTTATGAATAAGTAAAATATTAAAATAAATTTTGAATTAATTAGAACATAAGTAATTAAAGATGGATTTATGGAACAAGCTCTATAATTTTACGGAAATGAGCCGTAGCTCGACACCAAGGGCCCGAATTGGCTCAAAAGAGGGAGAGGAGAAAGAGAAGGGAGGGAGAGGAAGAAGGGAGGGAGGAGATCGTCGCGCAGCACCACCGCCATCGCCTCGCTGCCGATCGTTGCAGCTTCAGACCGTCACCTTGCCGATCGTCGCAGTCGCAGCCCCGCCTCCTCCTTCAGTCGATTTTTTTGGCTCCCTCCCCTCCTTCCTCCTTCTCCTCCCTTCTCTTCTTCTCCCTTCTTCTTCTGCTTCTGCTTCTTCTTCTTCTTCTTCTTCGTTCTGCAACAAAAACACGAAAAAAAAAAAAAAAAAAAGCAAAAAATCGACACCAAAATAACATCGTTTTGATATCGAGCCAAACTCGAGCCACGCTGCCGATAATTTTACCTCTACGAGTGCTATCTATTACTGATCCAAACACGGATTTAGGTATCCCACGCTTCGACAGACGGCTACTGGACGAAGCCGACGCCCAAACTGAGTTGAAACCAGTAGTGACGCGACGTCTCTCTCAGTGTGTCTCATCTTCCACCGTTTTGTTCCAAACTGGATGAGTAGAAATCAGTTGTGACGCCATCTCTCTCACTCTCTGTGTGCCTCATCGTCCACCGTTTTGTTCTTCACAATACAAATCGACCCACAGAAAAGAGAAATAAGAGAGAGATTGTTGGCTAACAAAGCCCCCTAATTAACTCTGATTTGGTCGGACTCTAATTAATGGCGTCAAAGTTGGGTATCGCCGGTGGCATACCAGAGCGTCGAGTTCGACCTATATGGGACGCTATCGACTCTCGTCAGTTCAAAAACGCTCTCAAGCTCTCCGCTTCTCTTCTCTCGAAATACCCCAACTCTCCCTACGCTCTCGTAAGTCTGTTACACATTGATTACATACACTATATATCAAATGAATGAATGCAAGTGAATTGTTCCACGAAATTACCGTGTCAGAGTTTTGTTTTTTGTATATATATATATATATATCAAATTTGAGGTTAAAAACTTGATCTGATATGAAATACTTCATCAAATGTTTTTGAAAATTTCAGAACTTATCCTGAAAACCTGTTTTAACTATTTTTGATGAAAGAAAAACATGTCCCATCCTTGTTATTTTCAAAATTTCATCAATTTTGTGTAAAAATATATGACTGTTGGGAATTTGGTGAAGGATTTGCCTCTCCCTTATTTGATACAGATTTTATGGAATGGTTGGAGCACACTTTTAGCCATTTTTTTTTATAATTAAATTTGAATTTGATGAAAAATTTGGACAAGGATTGCAGATGCTCTTAGAGTATAGGGTTAGATTAGAAAGAAAAATCAGATTAGATGAATATGATGAAATTTTCCCTTTAACATAGGGTTACATTATAAAGAAAAATCAGATTGATATACTAAAAATAAAATATAAAAAAAATCAGCTTGACACATAGAATGATGGAACCTACAACTGTTGATATTTTTTTACAATGCAAAAGCATGGATTTTGTGCAAAAAGCATAAATGAAAGCACAATTTTGTTAGCTTCACGTTGGCCATTTGCATATCTTGTTTGTCTTATTGTGGTCAATTATGTATGTCCATGTCCAGTATATTAAACAGGTTCTCAATTTTCCCACCCTCTTATCATGCAGGCACTCAAGGGTCACATTTTGGAAAGGATGGGTAAATCTGATGAAGCATTGTCTGTTTGCCTAAATGCCAAAGAGCTATTGTATAATAATGACTCCATTGATGATCTCACTCTCAGCACGCTGCAGATTGTATTCCAACGACTTGATCAATGTCAGTACATGTACTGCTTGATATACATACATACATACATACATACATACATACATACATACATACATGATTATATAAATCGGTTTACATAGCTCTAATAATTGTTTTATCTTGTCAGTGGACATGGCTACTAGTTGTTACGAGTATGCCTGTGGCAAGATTCCAAACAATTTGGAATTAATGATGGGCCTTTTCAACTGTTATGTTCGTGAGTACTCATTTGTGAAGCAGCAACAGGTTGATTGTATCCAATAGTTGATGTTTCGAGTTTATTATTTATTTATTTATTTATTTTATTTTTGTTATTTTGTAACATCTATGTTCGTATAGATTGTGCAAGAGTTAGAATAGGGCATTTGCTTAGATGGCTTTTTATTTTCTGCAGATAGCTATTAAAATGTACAAGATTGTTGGTGAGGAAAGGTTCTTGCTTTGGGCAGTTTGTAGCATTCAGTTACAGGTTTTGCCTGCCTGTCCCAACTATTTTTTCCCCTTTTCCAGTTTTTAATGTAAAATAGTCCACTAGTGCCTGTTTTGGAAAGTTGTTATCCCTATCAATGGCATTTTAGAGCACGTGATACACCACCTAAAACAAAAATTTCAAAACATGGTAACTGTAAAAAAACTGATGTATTATTGATTGATGAATTGTTGTTTTTGATTATTGATTGTTGATGTCTATTACAATTACAAGGATTCCTATTATATAGGAGTGTAAAAAAACTGATGTATTATTGATTGATGAATTGTTGTTTTTGATTATTGATTGTTGATGTCTATTACAATTACAAGGATTCCTATTATATAGGAGTGTAAAAAAACTGATGTATTATTGATTGATGAATTGTTGTTTTTGATTATTGATTGTTGATGTCTATTACAATTACAAGGATTCCTATTATATAGGAGTGTAAAAAAACTGATGTATTATTGATTGATGAATTGTTGTTTTTGATTATTGATTGTTGATGTCTATTACAATTACAAGGATTCCTATTATATAGGAGTGTAAAAAAACTGATGTATTATTGATTGATGAATTGTTGTTTTTGATTATTGATTGTTGATGTCTATTACAATTACAAGGATTCCTATTATATAGGAGTGTAAAAAAACTGATGTATTATTGATTGATGAATTGTTGTTTTTGATTATTGATTGTTGATGTCTATTACAATTACAAGGATTCCTATTATATAGGAGTGTAAAAAAACTGATGTATTATTGATTGATGAATTGTTGTTTTTGATTATTGATTGTTGATGTCTATTACAATTACAAGGATTCCTATTATATAGGAGTGTAAAAAAACTGATGTATTATTGATTGATGAATTGTTGTTTTTGATTATTGATTGTTGATGTCTATTACAATTACAAGGATTCCTATTATATAGGAGTGTAAAAAAACTGATGTATTATTGATTGATGAATTGTTGTTTTTGATTATTGATTGTTGATGTCTATTACAATTACAAGGATTCCTATTATATAGGAGTGTAAAAAAACTGATGTATTATTGATTGATGAATTGTTGTTTTTGATTATTGATTGTTGATGTCTATTACAATTACAAGGATTCCTATTATATAGGAGTGTAAAAAAACTGATGTATTATTGATTGATGAATTGTTGTTTTTGATTATTGATTGTTGATGTCTATTACAATTACAAGGATTCCTATTATATAGGAGTGTAAAAAAACTGATGTATTATTGATTGATGAATTGTTGTTTTTGATTATTGATTGTTGATGTCTATTACAATTACAAGGATTCCTATTATATAGGAGTGTAAAAAAACTGATGTATTATTGATTGATGAATTGTTGTTTTTGATTATTGATTGTTGATGTCTATTACAATTACAAGGATTCCTATTATATAGGAGTGTAAAAAAACTGATGTATTATTGATTGATGAATTGTTGTTTTTGATTATTGATTGTTGATGTCTATTACAATTACAAGGATTCCTATTATATAGGAGTGTAAAAAAACTGATGTATTATTGATTGATGAATTGTTGTTTTTGATTATTGATTGTTGATGTCTATTACAATTACAAGGATTCCTATTATATAGGAGTGTAAAAAAACTGATGTATTATTGATTGATGAATTGTTGTTTTTGATTATTGATTGTTGATGTCTATTACAATTACAAGGATTCCTATTATATAGGAGTGTAAAAAAACTGATGTATTATTGATTGATGAATTGTTGTTTTTGATTATTGATTGTTGATGTCTATTACAATTACAAGGATTCCTATTATATAGGAGTGTAAAAAAACTGATGTATTATTGATTGATGAATTGCGTCTCCCACTGCTCCCCCATGTCTTGTAAGGAAGAGAGAGAAGCTTGGTGAGTGAATCTTCGGATCTTTCGGAGGCTGATGATTTGGGTGTTTCTGGGATGAAATCAGGCATTTCGTTGGGAAAGAAACGATCTGCTATCACCGATCGGACGAGTTCGGGAAGTCGGAAGCGAGCCGGGAGGCGATCGCGGCGTGGTACATGACGTCGTGGAACGACGACGTTTCCTTGGTCATCAGCCGGAACTTCCTGGCCTTCTCTCCTGTGAAGCAGCCCGGCGAGAACCGAGATCTGGCCGACGTCTGGTCCAGATCGGAGGCCGACTTGCTCTCCGACTTCGCCGAAAGATCGGCGTTGGTGCTGTTGGCGGAGCAATGTAGTCGGGTTCGGAGGACCAGCCGAAGAGTGGGGTCCACCATACATCTGCTGCTTAATCATCCATGACTGTTGTTGTTGTTGGTATTGAAGGTGGTTCTGCTGGTGTGGCTGAACTACGCTCGTTGCTGGTTGCATCATCGTGAAAAAACCTAGCTTAGATGTGAGAGAGAAGGTATGTATAGAAAAAATTTAGCAGACTAGGTGGAGGTCCGGCGGGCAGCTAAGGTGAGATTGCCGCCCGCCGGGGAAGCGAAAAAATCAGATTCTAAACCTGCTCTGATACCATGTAAAAAAACTGATGTATTATTGATTGATGAATTGTTGTTTTTGATTATTGATTGTTGATGTCTATTACAATTACAAGGATTCCTATTATATAGGAGTGTGTTTGGGAGTAGGTGGAGAGTAGGTGAAGTGTGGTAGGTGGTAGTGGTAGGTGGAGAGTAGGTGAAGTGTGGTAGGTGATAGTGGGTGAATTTTAACAGTAACTAATGAGTGATTGTAGTTCTTACAATGTATTCCTTTTGCTGAGCAATTCTGTTGTTTAGTGGTTAGCTAGGACTTTTGAATTACCCAGTTTATTCCCCATTCGAATTATCCATCTATCTAGCCTGTCGCCATTTAAAAGATAAAGAAGTGATTTCAATTTAACAAATTGCAGATCAGCACTTTTACTTAAGTAATTTAATTCATAGCAGAACCACCTAAGCATTTACAGTGAAAAGTTTAATTATGATCTTAACCAAAATTGGTAATTGTAGATGTAGTTGAAAAATTAAGCAACTCTTGGTTATGTTAATAATTCTTTTATATGATTATATATTTGCTTGATGAAGGGAAACTTAGGTATAAATCTCATGAGAGAGGAATGCAACACTATATAAAGTCTAACACTCGAAATACTGTTCCAGACCAAATCCACCCTACAAACCATGTGATTCTAAAATGTTAAACTGATACATAATTTTGCCTTTTAAAAGCTTTCCAAAAATGAATAGTTATATTCTATGTGTGCATGACAAATGCAAGTTTGTAAGGAATACATATGTATGTGTATGTGTTTTGTGAACCATTGGAATTGGAAAAAATAAAAATTGTCTTTTAAGCTAATTAATATGTCCTTTTATGAATTCACCATGCTAAAAATGTTTATAGAAATGGAAAAGAAAATTTATGCCTTCTAGTTCATGATGCACAAATAAAATAGTATACAGCTTATACATGATTCAAAATGACACATGATTCACTATTTATATTACAAAGTAGTATACATCTTCAGTCATAAAACATAATTTCACATCCTTCCTATTGTTGTTGTTCCTTTTTTTTTTTTTTTTTTTTTTTTTTTCTTTTTCCCCAAAGCCAATGCTGCTGCACATTGCTCAGGTCTATTGCTAGTTTGTTTTAGATAAAGTACACTTTTTGGTTCTTTGGTTTTGTTAGGTTTTGTGTGGTAATGGAGGAGAGAAACTGTTGCTTTTAGCTGAAGGCTTGCTTAAGAAGCACATTGATTCTCATAGCTTGCACGAACCAGAAGGTACACTTAGTTTTTCTTTTTCTGTTCATAATGAAAAACCAGCAGTTAAAATTAGGAAATTATGTTTTCTAGTCTATTAGCATGCTAAATGGTATAATCTGTTGCAGCTCTTACTGTCTACATTTCTCTGTTGGAACAACAATCCAAGTTCGGGAATGCTTTGGAAATTCTTTCTGGGAAATTAGGATCACTTGTAATGATTGATGTTGACAGATTACGGATACAGGTACTTTCTGCAGCTTTCTTTTTCTTTTCCTTTTTCTTTTTCTTTTTCTTTTTCTTTTTTTTAAAATAAATATTATAATCATTTTAAAATTTATGAATTTAGCTGAAGTTCTTCCACACGCTACTTGTATGTCTGGGTCTATGTCTCTCTTGCCAGCATGCTTTTGGTGGATGTTTGCTTATTTAAATTTCAGAGTCACAATTCTTGGCTTCCATTTCAGATTTATGTTAGCATTTCAGTTTTTAAGATTGCCAATAGCAACTTCAATTCCAATATGTTTTAAAGTATTGACTTTTTTATTTTTTTATTTTATTTTTACCATTACATCATTTATTGAGGAATATTTGTAGGTTCGAAGAATATTTGAATCCCTGTTCAAGCAAATATATGTCATATAAGCATATATGATACTGCTTAACATTCAATACATCTAAATTGTTTTTAAATCATACATTACCTATAACAGACGATGATTTGAAATCATCGACTTGCAGTCACTCTAAGACTAGATTTATACCCATCATAGATTCACTAAGTTGTAACAGAGAAGCCTCGCAAAGCAAGCCATTGAAGTTTTTACTAAAAGACCAGATTATTAACAGTAATTTGCAATTGAGTCTATTAGAAGCTGAAAATTTGCCATCATTTTATATTTTGTAACCATCATTTGCAATTGAGTCTATAGAACAGCTATTAGACCAGCGATATTGTATGGGTCAGAATGTTGGATTACTAAGAAACAATATGTAGATAAGATGAGTGTTGATGAGATGAGGATGCTAAGGTGGATGTGTGGCAAGACTAGAAAAAATAGAGTTAGGAATGAGTATATTCAAGAGTGGGTAGGAGTAGTACTGATGGAAGATAAGTTGAGAGAGAATAAATTGAGATGGTTTGGTCATATATAATGAAGACCAACAAAGGCAATAGTGAAGAGATGCGATACGGTGACTGTAGATGTGAGTGTTAGGGGAAGGGGTAGATCTAGATTGACGTGGGCTAGTGTAGTAAATAGAGATATGAATCTCTTTAATTAGACTAACGAAATGGCCTTGGATAGAGTCAAGTGGAGAAGAAGGATTCATGTAGCCGACCCCATTTGATGGGATTTAAGGCTTGGTTTGGTTTGGTTTTCTAAGCTCATATTCTCTCAATGCTGCTTGAAGGATGCTACCATAACTTTTTTACCTATGTAATTAATTCTTTGCCGTTATTATAAAGTGGAGGGAACTTATTTATCAAAAAAAATAAATAAAATAAAGTGGAGGGAACTTACTCTACATGTAACTTCATCAGTGCTTTCAAAAGAACCGCTTGTATAGGCTCTCACATGTTCATGCTTCTCAAGATATCCAAACTGTTCTTGATATATACTTCTAACTTTCGCCTTTGAAGTTTTAACTTTAATGAGGGTGGAAAGTAAATTGAGGACCTGTGGTTAAGTTTGCGCCTCTGGTTGTCCATCCAGTACCCTTCAAATGCTTATAGCTGTAGGATGTGATTGAGGTTTCATTTCCCCATTCCACAGTCATATCTGCCCTCTGTAGCACATTCTGGTTCCTGAGTTTACAAAAAAGCTTATGCCTGATGGAATGTCAAACATAAATTCTTGCTTGTGCTTTTCTTGAGTAGACACTAATGCTCCACCTCCTCCTGTTCTCCTTCTATGCCCTTTGATTAAGTTGATGAAGAAAAGTATGCCTATATATAGCCACCAGATTATTTTTTTCTTCATAGTTGTAATGAATTTGCCTCTTCATCAATGTACTCTTGTTGTTGATTCATATATTGTGGTTGTGGGGTCATGTAATTGTTGTGAGGGTGCCATGCTCTCTACAGGATTTTCATTGAAACATTAGCTTGAGACTTTCCCATCTTCATGAAAAACAGGGTGGGAGGAGTCCCTCCCTAATGACTGAGGATGGACAAGGTATCCAAACTTTTTTGGGCGTATGCAGGGACAAGGTGGTGATTGTTTCTAGAATAATGTTTCTAGTGCCTCACATCAAATCCTAAAACTTGCCCTGCTTCAGATTTTAGGTTTCGCAAGCAAGCTCTAATATATTATCAATTGGACTTGTAGTGAGTTCCATTGCAATTAGAATTTTAAATTGTAGGTAGGAAAGGAGTGAAAGATTATCTAAGATGTTATTCATAATAAACTTATGGAGCCCTTTCTTTCATTCATAAATTTTTTAAGTTGGTAAACCTTAGAAGAGCTATTTACATAAAAATTGTGTGGCATCAGCTATCTTGTTGGCTTCTTTCTGTTTGAAGCCCATGTTATGGCATTGTAATGGTTGCCTGTCATTATTTGCCACCTTTTGGGTTCAGAAGCAATTATGGGCTGCATCGTAGGGGTAGTACTGCCCTACCAATAAATCCCCTTTTCCCAACCTGGATGGAAGCAAATTTGAATATATGTCTTTGGTTTTCAGTGTTTGCATACAAGTGACCTTTTTAATTTCAGTTTTCTCGGCAACTATTGGCCTAAAGTTCCTGAAGAGTTCGCTGAGCCTTTTCCTTGTATCCTCTAAATGAGCACACTTTTGCTGCTATATCAATGTCTTTTCTTAGAGTTTTCCCGAACGTAAGCATGTACAATTTTATTGATCTTCTCCTTGATTACTCTTTGATCTTTCTCCTTGATTACTGAATGAGATGGGTCTGGTGCTTCATTACTGTGAATTACTTATTTCTTAACCTCGGTAACTAAAGTGTCAACCAAAACATTTGTCTTAATCTCTGTAACTTTGTAGAACAGAACATTTGTTTTGCAACTAGTCCCTACCTTTACACACATAATTGAAACGTTACCATCTCATTTCTTTAAAATGCTTTAGCCTTGCATAGATCTGATTATAGAAGATCATTCCATGCTGGACCCCAAGCAATTGGGAATAAGGCTTGTTGAGTTGAGGTTGCTATTAAATGCTTATCTGGTTCAAGCATATGCATTTTTTCTTGTGGGAAATATGGGCACTTTTGGGCTTGAAGATCATAGATAATAGAAAATTCAAATACTGGGAGCATGTTCATACCATTTCCATTGGTGCCATGCTGCTTGGTTTGTCACTGTCAAGATTCAAGTCTCCCATCCCTTCTGTGATTATTGTATTTGTATGGGAAGCTCTTGATTCTTTGATTTTTGCCTTTCTTATAAACTTGGAACTCTTTTAACTTCAAGTTGACAGGGAAGGCTTCTTGCTCGGGCAGGTGATTATGCAGCTGCCGCTGATATATTTCAGAAAGTCCTAGAATTATGGTATGCTTGTGGAACTTGCTATCTGTTTTATATAACTGGAATTATTTATTACCTTTTTTAATTCTTTGCTTGGCTTTACTAGATCTTTTTTTTTAATTTTTTTATTTTTACTTCTCTATCTTGAAGTGAGGTTTATATCTTTTAAGTTCAAGAACATTGTGTTTGGCTTCTATTGATTGGTCCAGAAGTTGGGCTAACAAATTCATGATATTCTTTTTAATAAACGGAGTCTTGTGAAATTTTATAGTTGGCTGTTATTTATTAATTTATTTTATTATCGTAAACTAAGTTGGATAATCAGTTTATTGAGTTTGATTAGCAGTCATAACTGAATCTGAGTTTTTGTTATGTCTTGTTTTGTTTTATTTTTTTTTTTTTTGGGAGAGGGAATTTGTCTGTTTTAGAGAAATGAATCCAGATGCTGTCATTCAAATAATAATAAATTGCTACTAAGGGCAATTATGTGCAAAATACGATGATTATTTATTAATCATTTGATAAAGAGCATGTTGGGTAGTCGTTTATTAAGTTTGGTTGGTGACATAGTCATTCTGGGCCAATTAATGGTGTAAATCTGAGTTTGGGGGTCAAGGAACTTATATTATGGAATGACTGCCGATGCTTTCATTTTGGAATAATTTGTGAAATCTACAACTATACAAAAATGCATATTTATGCAAACTATCAAATCTTAATGATAAAAACTGGATGACACATGCTTGATTGAAAAACACGGTTACACCTCTCTCCATGCGTGTGCATGCAACATATTACTCTCTTTTCTCCATGTTGTTCAATTTCTATACCAATATTGATACTACATAAAGAACTCTGAATCTGGCATGCACTTACTAGTTCTTGTATTAAAGCTACTACAGGTTATTGTAGATGTCTTCTTTAGCTTAATACACATGAATAACTGGGAGTCTGAATTTTTTATTTTTTATTTATTTTTATTTATTTTTATCTTTCATGAAATTGCTGTGATTCTTTTTGATGGTGTGAAGTATTGTATATATATATATATTTGGGCTCTAATTGAAGCTGATAACTCTGCGACATAGGTTTTTGAGGCAATTCAATAAATGACATAACCCTTCATGTAGGTGTGATGTTTTGCAAAAGGATCAAGTCTTGGGGAATCTTATCCATTGTTAACATCATACAAATGCTCATAATTAACATAATGTAGTGTTTATTTGATAATTTGACTTGCAGTCAATCCAAAGAGAAGGCAATAGATATGCATCAAATTCTATTCAAAAAAACAAAAAACAATAGAAGATTATATTCATATTACTCTAGGACATATCCTTACAAGCCAAATTATTGCTGCTAAAATTATTTGTTGGGCAATATAACCTCTAGCAAAATGAGTAAGACAAGTGGGGCAGCAGTGAAGACAATGGTGAACAAATATTAAAGAGTGAACCAGTTTTGTTGTCTAGGCTTGATTATTCATATAAATGGAGATTGAAGAGATGTGTACCGTAGAATTAAGGTTAAGAGATGGTCTAATTGGAGAAGGGATTCAGTTGTATTGTGTATTTGAGGTATACAACTGCAATTGAAATATAATTTTTAGGAAAGAACCATTCTCTATTGGAGAGAATGTTGTGTAATCAATGATCACATATCTTTAGATTGATGTATGGGAAGGCAATAAAGGATAAAATTAGGAATTAGCGTATTCTTAAGATTGCGCAAGTAGAATTCATTGCAGAGTGAGAGAAAACAAATTAAGATGGTTGGATAACATGCAAAAGAGATGATTGATTGTATGGTTTAGGAAAATGATGAGATCTAGGAAATGCAAGGACAAAAGAGAACCAAAAAGCGCAGACACTTCTACTAAATGTGTCCTATTGTCTTTCAATTTTTCTTTTGAATGCAACACACTGCGGGCACTTGGAGGAGACATGTGTCCATCACTTACACATACATGGAACACATTGCAATTTTGAAGAAAAATAACTTGGAAACCAATGATTAAATTCAGAATATACCTTCTTTAATATATTTTATTTAATCCCTTCTCCTTTAGGTGTTTAATTTTGGATTTCTAAAGCCTAAAATTTTTATTTTATTTATGAGTATAGCCTTGTAATGTAGATATTAGTACTTCTTGTTCACACTTCTTTTTCAATATATAGAATGTGAAAAATATTTTCTTAATATTTTGATATAATAGAATATAAATGTTTTTGTGATGTAAAAATTGAAGAAATTGTTATTATTCTTATATATATATGTAAAAATCTATATTTATTTGTTGTGTCCCTCTCGTGTGGTTTTAATTTTTTGAAATTGCTGCATCGAAGTGTACATATCATGTCATAAATATGCCTCTCGGAGAGAAACAAAAAGTTAATGCAGGCTATGGTTTATGAAACTAAAGACGGAAAAATAGAATTCATGTAGTCGGCCCAAAACAATTTGTTTAAAGCTTTGAGTTGAGTTGGACAGAGACATATGAAGAAATCATTTACACTGTTGGTGAAAACAAACTACCCCTCCCGCACTTTCCCTTGGTTTTGCGTTTTATATTATGATAATTTTAATGTTTCTTACAATGATTTTATTTATTCATAATTAGCAACTTGATCCCTCCTTCCCCTTATTGAATTAATAATGTGCTAGCTTCTGTTTCCCTTGGTTGCTCCCTCTTTGTTTCATTTTTGTGCCTTCAACTTTGTTGATGGGTGCATCATTTCTTGCTTGAATGGACCAATCACTTTATGCAGTCCCAAAATTTGGTCCTTAATGGTGTAACTAGCTGAGTTCTCCCCTTATCCTTCCTTGGACAGATTAGTAAGGCTTCGTTTGGCAACTTAGCCACTAAAAAAAAAAAAATGGAACATCTCAGTAACTTTTTCCAAAAAGTTAAAAAACCAATTCCCAAATGAGGCCTAAGTTAAGCTCTACATAATATCCTATCCTCACATTCTTTATATCTTGTGCCTACATTCTTCTAGAATGATCTGAATTCTCTATGGGATCCTTCCTTGAAGAGTACAGTGAGTTGGATCCATACAATATCCTTTGCACATTCTTTACCCAATAACTTGGGTTTCTTGCATTGGTTTTTTCTGGACTTGTGATTGCATTATCTCTACCCTCTTTCTGATATAGTTGATGCTACATCTACACATGTATTCCAAACCATTAATTTTGTTTATTTATCTGGCAGCCCTGATGATTGGGAGTGTTTCCTGGATTACTTAGGCTGTTTGCTGGAGGATGACAGTAGCTGGTGTAATGGTGCTAATAGTGATCCAATTTATCCATCAAAATCCGTGGACTGCAAGCTTGCGCACTTGTCAGATGAAGTGGTGCACATTTCAATCCTTGCATTACATATATTATTGTTTGGTACAGTTCTTTCCACAGAAGTTCATGCAGAATTTGATTTGTGTGACTTGGATGTGTGCAGTTTGATTCTCGTATATTAATTGCGTCAGCTTTTGTACAAAAGTTATTCGCAGAAGCCAGTACTGACTCTGCAAGATGTCCATACTTGGCAAATCTTGAGATTGAAAGGAGGAAGTTCTTGTTTGGAAAGGGAGATGATGACAAACTAATCGAGGCTCTAATACAATATTTTTTCAGGTATAGTACAACCTTTATGAATTTCTTAATTTTTCTGATGAACTATGGGAAAATGCTATGTCACATGGACTCGGGTACAAGTATCGGGCTTGTGCCTAAGCATTAGACCTTCCTAAACTCTAAATGTTAGGATATAGAGATATGTATCCAAACTCTATGTTACATGAACATGTCTTGAACATTTAAATATATTACATATTGTATAACATTTTGAGTTAAGATGATATTAATTATTTAGAAATGTATTTGAAATCAAATAGGAATTGGGATTTAGGGGAAAAAGGGGATTTCTAGCTCCCTTCCACATGAGTGGCTATAAATTTATCTTTGCTATCAAATGTGAGTCTTTTCTTCTTCTAACATCATAAAAAATTAGATGATCCAAGCTTCTGATTTTTCGGAAGTTGGACATGTATCCCATATCCACACCCTTATCATATGTGGATATGGGTACTTTGGAAGAAATAGAAGAGTCTGTAAAATTGGGAAAGGCTTAGCCTCGTTTTCTCCTATTAAGTTCTTATTTATTCATTTGTACATTGACTTCTCAATCTTATTTGCAGGTTGTATGACTTAGTTGAGTTGAGTATTTATCAGTCTGATAATACAATCTTTAGTGAGTTTAGAGTTATTATTTTGATTGCCACTGTAGTCTTGGTCTTTCAGTAATTTGTGACCGTTATGTGTAGGTTCAATCGTTCCTAAAGATAGCAAAATAAGAAAACAGAAAATGAAAAGATCCCATTGGTATATACTGACAAAGTGATGCGGCATGATTCAGCTGTTTAGAAATTTTATTTTCTCTATGTAGGTTTGGTCACTTGGCCTGCTTCTCTGCGGATGTTGAGGTGTTTCTTCTAATCTTAACTCGTGATAAGAAGTTACAATTTTTGGAGAAGTTAATGGAAATCCGTGATTCCCCTGCAACAACGGCAGCAAAAGCACTGGAGAAGTCATTGACCCTTTTTAAAATTCAAGAACTGGTTGGAAACTTCTTCACTCTTCCAGCGAGTGGTATGCCTCCTGCTTTTTCATTGTATGGGTTTATGCATGATCTCCTTATCATTTGGTCAAGGATATTCGTATCATGCCCTTGATTTAGTGCTAATACATTTCATCATTAAGGCTACCTGTTAGATTAAAAATGTTTGCACTCCTCCACCCTTTTTAAGTTATTATTGCTTGATCTTGAGGGTGGTTTTGTGAAAATTTGAATGATTATGTTTTGAATTTCTAAGAGCTTATTGTTAATGTCGTTTATTTTTTATAATATTTTATATTAACGAAGAAAAATAGATGTGTATTGGATATTCATTTTTTTATGCTCCCCCACCCCTTCCTAAAAAAAAAGGAAAAAAAAGAAGAGAAAAAGAAGTAAAAAGAGTATACATGATGTGCACATAAAAAGAAACTATAGTATGCATTATGCGAAGGGCTGCAATCCGTATGGAAATTATACATATATGCTAATCAATTCAAGTTCTGCAGGTCTCTTTTTGTAGTTGATGACTATGCCCTTTTTTTATATAAATAATATTTTATTGAGGAAAAGGGCATCAAAGGGGATGCAACCCTTTTACAAAGAGACGAAGGGAAACCAAATTACAAAAGACCACCCATACCTCCACTTGAATTAGAAGGTTCTAAAAAATCCTAAAATTGATGACTGTCTTTAATTTTTATGATTTTGTAATTGCGAGGTGACAGAGCATCTTCTTAGATAGCTTTAGTTCTTTACAGTCCGTGAGACATGGAAATTGACTTACCAGTATGTGTGAGCTGATGGCCTACAACACAAGGCTTACTGCTCTAGTAATGAGGCCTAGAAGTATCACATATGGAAAGAATCCAAGGTGGTGCAATGAGGATAGAGACTACCAGTAACAATTTTAATGAAAAGTGGAATGATATTGGGAAGAGGTAATCAATGGTGCAAAGTAAAATAGGTAGTGACATCTCAAAGAGGGTAGAGTTGAACCCAAAGATGGTGATTGGGAAGGGGAGAACAGAGGTAAAGATATTGTGCTGAACTTCTTCGCTATTTTCAATAATTTTTTCTCTCTTGGTGTGAGGACGGGGTGGGATTCTTTTCCCATCCATCTAGAAACCAGCCATTCAATGGAAAACCCTAGGCGGAGACTACTTATCTGACAGAGGTTGGTTGGTAGAGGTTCCCGATGTAGGCGATTCGAGACCATCTGATTCATTTGTTTTTTAGATTGAAACAAGCAGGTTGGGTGGGTGGGAATAATAAGTCTGATGTACTATTTTCTCTGTTTTCGTTCCTCTATGTTTTAGGGTTTCGTTGACTTTGTTGTTCTCCTTCATTTTTGTTGCTTTCCTTTGTTTTCTCTTGCTTCTTCAGCTTTTTGCTGCTCTTCTCTGATTTAGAGCTTTGGGTTCCGCTTTTGGGGATTCGTAGCCATTGACTAAGTTTTGTTTTCCACCTGCTTTCCATTGCTTCTTCGGTTTTTGGCTTTTGGCTTCAACTCTCTAATTTATATTTTTGGGTTCAGCTATTGGGGCTTTCTATCTTGGCTTTCCAAGAGTTTCCAGATTTTGATTCTCGATTTGGGACTTCTTTTATCATTTATAGGGATTGCATTAGGATGATTGACCGGGAGAGATATGAGAAAGTTTGTTAAGATAGGGCTGCAGTCTTTCGTGACGAGAATCGGTGCCCCGTGGAGGTGGTTGAGCAATGAAATGGTTTCATAGTTCTATTATATTAGGGAAAATTACCAATAAGTCTTATTTTACTCTTAAGATTACACTATTGAGTCTTATCAAATTTCAATATGGACAATTAAGTCCTATTTGTCATAAAATGGTCTCAAAAGGTTCATTTCTCTGTAATGATGTATCTCCGTAATGATGTATCTTATACCAATTTTACCTCTCATTTAATATGAATAAAAATTTCATTAATATTTTTAATGCAAGTAAAATTATATTTTTTAATTGTAAAAATTATGATATTGTATTAAAAAAATTATAAATCACAAAGAAAATATTGCCAATAAGTTCTATTTGAATCCAATTTTATCTCTCTCATTAAAATATGAACAAAAATTTTTATAAATAATTTATTTTATTTAAAATTTTATAATAAAAATATTTTTAATTGTTGAAATTAAATGAATTTTCATAAACAAATTCATGAACTATTTCATGCATTGAGAAATATATATTTGTCATAGTATTACTTTTCATAGCTCTTTGAAATTTTAATCAAATTTAGCCCTTTTAGATTGTTTACACTAAAAAAATTCATAATTTGAAATAACAGAAAACGTTGCATCTTATACTGTAAAAATTTATGTATTATTGATTGTTGTGTTGATACATATTCTGTCTATTACAAATGGTTCCTTATATAGATGTAGGTGTAGTGGATGGTGTGTAGTGGATGGTGATAGTGGTGTAGTGGGTTAGGTTTAGTGGAGTAGGTGAAGTGGTAGTGTTGTAGTGGGTTAGGTTTAGTGGAGTAGGTGAGGTGGTAGTGGTGGTAGGTGATGGTAAATTCTAACATATACTATAGTTGTTTCGATGCAATTGTTATTTATAATTTTTTTAATATAATATTAATAATTTTTACAATTATTTTTTTTTTTATAAATTTTAATTAAGTTAAAATTGCTTATAAAATTGTTATTATATAGAAGTGGTAAAATTGGGATAAGATACACCATTATGGAGGAATGAACCTTTTGGGAACATTTTATGACAAATAGGACTTAATTGTTTATATTAAAACTTAATGGGACTCAATAGTTATCTTGAGAGCAAAATAGGACTTATTGGTAATTTTACCATTATATTATTGGGTTTTGAAATTGGCTGGTTTGGTAGGAAATTCTCAGAGGCTTTTCAAGGGCCACAAGATACAAGCCTTTGGCGGAGCTTGACAGGGGAGTAGGATTTTTTTTTTGGGGTGAATTACAGGGGGAGTAGGATGCTAGGGTGTAGGAATCACAATATTAATGTTTATAGTGTTCATATATTTGTGTAGAATATTCACTGCAGCTCTACTTATCTGGAAAAAAGAAAAGAAAAGAATTTGACTCCAGCTCTTCTGCAGACCTTGAGGGTCTTGCTGTACAAATGGCGGAGATGTACTGTCAGAACCTTCCTCTTTCAAAGGATTTGGATGTACAAGAGAGCATGCATGGTGAAGATCTTTTGTCTATGGTGTCCAACATTTTGGTTCAGGTATCATGTGTTGCCTCTGCAAACATTTATTATTTTATTATTTACATCTATTTATTTTACTTCAATTTTTGTTAAATTAGGGCCTGAAACTGCCAGTTCATCCTGAAAAAATTCAGGATGGGCATCAACTTAGTTGAGGCCGATCTAAGCTCAGTAACACATTTAGCGGAAACCAATTTTGGGTAGAGCTTTGAGCCATACTAACTAACCTGATTCTCTCTCTTGTCGTCTAACAGCCTTTATTGTCGCTGTTAAAGTAATCACAGTCAATGAGTTTTCCAGCATCCCAAGCCATAGCTGCGTCCGTTGCTGGCTCTTGTTGCCACCAACAAGAATGCCGTCATTTCTAGCTTAATTTTCCCATTCTTACCAACATAAACACTTATGTCCACTCCATAACTAGTCATTCCTACTCATGACCATCTCTCTCTCTCTCTCTCTCTCTCAATATATATGTATATATATATATATATTATGTATATATCCAAACACAGATGTGCGCAGGCCTAAGAAGCATGGACATTTTTAAGAAGGTGACGTATCCGTGTCGTGTCCATGTCCGTGTCAGACACCGACACTCTTTGGACGCTTATCTGACACATGTCCGACACTCTTCAAAACGTGTCCTATTTTTTAATTTTTTTTAAAGACCCAGATACTCTTTAGACACTTGGAAGCACATCTGTCTATCACTTAAACATACGCGTCTCTCGATTAGACACATGTAAAACTAATATAAGTTCGAATAAAACAATTTAAAATACAATAATAAAACAAAACCATATAAATTTATAGGAATTAGTGTCATATTGCGTTTTTTATTATCTTTGAATGATATATTTGTATATATATATATATATAACATATAATAAATATATAAAATTATATATTTCATGCGTGCCTCCCACGTGTTGTGTCCTGCATTTTTTGAAAATTGGCGTGTCGGCGTGTCTGTATCGTATCCGTGTCGTGTTGCGCGTCCGTGTCCATGCTTCTTAGGCACAGGCACATACATATATGTATGCTGGTGTTTTATTGTTTTGTTGGACCTGTTTGGAGGAGTTTTTTTTAAGTTAAAAAGCTGATAATCAGAAAGCAGAAGCTAAAAGCACCCCTACCGTAACTTTTAAATAATCAGCTTTTTTTAGCTTATTTAAGCTATTTCTGCATAATAAGATATAAGTAGAAGCTGCACCAAACAATATGGCACAGACTCCCATATCAAAATAAGCTATAATCACCCCCCCAATAGCTGTAACAAAAAGTCTCGTTGTCTTGTGCTTGTTATCATGTAATACATGTGTGTTTTATGGTCTCATCCTAATTGCTTTTCTCTTGACATTCCAAGGTCAGATCAATCTTTTGTCTTCTTCAATTGGACCATTAAATGAAAATCCTGTAGTGTTACAAAACGCTGAAATGTTCTAGTACCAGACACTTTCTTATGTTTTGTTTTGCTTCATGTGTGCGAAAGCTATCTTGTTGAGTGTTTTGTTATCCATTTTTTTGAATTGGTATTTAATTCCAGTAGTTAGACAATTACATTCTTTGCTTTGAGGCTTACCTTGACATCTCTAGCTTTAACTTTTGTGCATAGTTATTCTGGCGTACTAAGCATCTTGGCTATTTGGTGGAGTCAATTATGGTTCTGGAGTTCGGTTTGGCTATACGAAGGTCAGAATTTTAATTTTTTGTTTTTGCTTCATTGTCATTTTATACCAACTGTTCAATGATCACATTTTTTTTTTTAAATAACAGAAAAGTTGATGGTAAATTTGAGTTTTTAATAATATAAAATTCTAATTTTATTTCACTCTTTTAACCTTAATCTAGTGTAGTGGCCACTCTTAAGGTCAAGATCGTATGAAAATTTTATTCTTGATTATGATCATTTGGATCCTAAATTTATAAGATAATCTTTTTTTTTTCAAGATCCATTTGCTCTTCTATGGGATTGGTTCAGGTAAAGATGAGGCTATTGACAAATAGAGAACATGATGTTTTCTCTGTCATTTCTATCTATTTCTACCATACATATACATATATATATATATATATTGGCATCGAGCAATTCTATCGTTTTTCTCTTCTCCTTTCATGTAGTCTTTTGTAAGTGACATGCTTGTCCTCTTGAAGTCATATGTGTTAAAGGTGTGGTTGTAGATGCCATGTTTGTAGAACCATTGTGTTACATTTCTCTTTAAAAGTAACCTAAATTATGATTTGAATCATGTTAGGAGTATTGCACAACATGTAGGTACATTGATTCATATAGGGGTTTAGATACCTATGTAACTATTATGTTGGTATTATGAATTATGATGAGAGATCCATTGGCCTCTTAGTCTACTGAGTTGGGTGGATGATGTGGTAGCGATCACTTTGTTATCCACTTCGAAAGCTTTGAACAAACTTTAGCAGGGCGCCAATCAAGAAGAGATTTTAGTCAGTGTCCATGGTAGATTGGTTACCCAACTCCCATTTTACTTTTGTTGACATTAGTATTCTACTAGTTCAGTTTTAGTTATGTTTTAAGAGGCATGAGTATGTTGACAATTTACATATTTGCTGAACAGCTGCTGTAATAGTGGTTTATGAAACGAATCTTATTTTATACCTAGTTATTGCATCTATAGGGAATGCTGGTCTTTGTAGTTGGAGTAATCTTGCAGTTTATAGATATCTGTATTTTACAATTATACTGATTTGAGTTCTAGATAATTGAAGAATTTGTGATTTGTGATTCAACCTATGCTTGGGGAATAGAGCAGGGGTTGCTTTTATGTTTATGGATTTGCTTTGAATAAATTTGGCATTTATCATTTAAGGGATTTAGTAGTTGAGATTAAATTCCTATGGTTGAGCTGTAAACTATGCATTTAACGGCACCCAATGCCATTATGCCATATCAGCTTTGTCATTAATATTTATATTTGACCTCAAACACTAGATAATAACTTCTTCTCCATTAAACCACCTGTTCTACTTCTCGGTTACATCTCCGGTTCTGTTGCAGAGACAGATCCCATTTAACATGCACTCAGCAACGAGAAAGTTCCAAAAGATGAGGGCTACTTTCGTGCGGTCCATCAAATTGTATATGTGGCATTTTTTAAGCTGTTTGGGAAGTGCTAAATAAGCCACCCCTTTTTCTGATTTTTATTTATTTATTTATTTATTTATTTTTGTCTTTAGTGACTTTTTATTCAAAACCATGGCAAAATTTTTTACTTTTCTAGTCTGTCTTATGTAGACGAATCTCTTTTTTTTTTTTTTTTTCAGAAAAATTCTAAAAAAAGAATAAGCCCAAAAAATACACTATTTTTTGTTTATTGGTCTTTTCTGGACTTTTTTTTCCTTAAATTTTTAATTTTTTCAGTTCATCTCATCAAGTAGAATCCAGAAGCCTAAAATTTTTTAAAAAATTTAAAAAAATGTTCACTAAAGATGACAATTAGCCAACAAAAAATACAAAAAAAGCAAATCCCAAACACGGTTAGGCATAAAAGTGACGTTTTACAAATGAACCGCATATAACTCAATTTAGGTTTAGACCGTAGCAATATTTATGAATGGACTTGAGAGCCATATATCGAAGGATGTCAAATAACAGGGTAAAATTTGTTATCTGAAATCCTTCCCAACGGGAATATCAATTGCACAAGGATTGTAATAAAATGCATCTCTGACCTCTACTCTACCCTTTTCCTTTGGCCTCTCAATCCAACCCTAGTTGCCAATCATCTAATATTTGTAAATTTAAAGATGAATCTCGTTATTTTAAATCCATTTGGCCTAATGCAACATTGAGGAATTTCAGATAGGTTTCTTGGAGGAATTCTCAATTTTAATCATAAATCCATTTAGTGTCTTTAGTTTTCATTGCAAATCTATTTCTAAAAGTTTAATGCTTTGCTTTATTCATTACCCTTTAATTTATGGGGTAATTACAGCTCAGTGATGTTTTAAAAAAATAATTATATATTGATGAAAAAATTTATAATTTTAATTGTTAGTATTTGTAAAGTTTATCACTGATTTGTAATTATTTTAAAAAAATACCAATGATTTGATATTTTCCCTTAATTTAACACCTGAAAGCGCCGAATAATCAATCGATGTCCAGAATTTCATTCAACCAACTTTCTGAAATGCCAACAACCTGTCATAAAATGCGGCCAATTACAACCTCCTGCTTGTAAACTGTCATTTTCTCCTGTTGTCTAAATTCTAAGTCACAAGTTTCTTGTAACCTTTCTTCACCACAAACTCAAAGTCACAGTTGTTTGTTTTAGTGGTGTGCATGTGCTACATCAGAGGACAAGTGGCATACTTGTAGTTTGGAAAAGCGAAGTAACTGGACATCTTTTTAATTAGATTAGCAAAACCTTTACTTACTTTTGATAGTAAACAGGTTGTTGATGGTCCATAATCAGACTCTCACTTTTGTTACTTTTGAGTCTTAATGTGCACATTGCACATTGAATGGTTGGCTCTTAAATTATAAGTTATGTCAATGTGTGTAGGGAGGCAGTTTCATGATAGACATGATCACATGGTGTTGGACTGCCAACTCTCCAAAATGTTGACACCATGGGACGGTTATATCTGTGAGCATGATCTGTGTCCGTGAATTTGTTATGCCAAATATATATACTTGTTTGAATTTGTATGCATATGGAGAACAATGCTGGGTTAAAATAGAGTAATAGGAAGGGGAAACTCTGAAAAGCTGCCACAAAAGAATGGATTGACTCGTTCTTCTGGATGTTTGTTAAATAAATACAGTACTACTCTTTTCTAAGTGTCTAGAGAAGTGTGACACGGGTTGATAGTGTGTCGGGTTGACTAGAAGCTGATGTTTCTTGGGAGAAGTGTCCTATTTTCACAGGTTTACCGTAGTCTTTGCTTTACATGAAGACTTGCAGCAATATCTTGTATTTAAAATGAAGTTATTTAGTGTCAGTCCTTCCTTTTCTCAGTATTCAGGAATCCTCATCTGAAAATGTTTTTACCTGTTTGTGAGATATTTTGATGAATTAGCACCAAGTTGTGTATCATATTGTCAAATATAATACTGAATGCAGACAATTGACATTATCCCTAGTGGTTTTATTTTCTATTTATGATACGGTCAATGCATACAAGATAATTGCTGGTTCATAAGTTATACCTTAACCAATTTGAAAGTTATTTTGTTGTTTATTATGTCAAAAAGTTACTTGTTCCTGCAGATAACGTGCATCTCTGATAATATTTGACAGATATGTTTGGCAGTACAAGGTCTTATTGTTGCATTTGTATTCTCACTTGGGCGCCCTTTCATTAGCATATCAATGGTAACTTGGTTAATTTCCCCTTTTCTTTTCCTTTTTTATACTATTTCTAGTTGCTTATTGATTTTAGTGCCCAGACTTTCAGATTTACTAGCAGCTTATGTTTTTGGCGAGTCTTGATTCAGCAGCACCTTTTTCCTCAATAGGTGTAGTAATGATTCTTCTTCTCCTACTTGATAAAATAAATGACTGTTGTTCCCGTGTAGGTATAAGTCTTTGGATGTGAAGAACATTTTGCTGGAAACTGTTTCGCACCATATTTTACCCCAGATGTTGGCATCTCCCCTTTGGGTAGATTTAGGTGATCTTTTGAGGGATTATCTGAGATTCATGGATGACCACTTCAGAGAATCTGCAGATCTTACATTTCTTGCATATCGCCATCGAAATTACTCAAAAGTATGTAAGATATTTATATATAATAGCTGTTCTTGGTTTCCCTTTCCTCATTGATGGCATTTTGTATAATGGAAGACATGATATATTTAATCAATTTCTAGGTATTACTTGAAGTAGTACCTTGCTTTTGTCCCAGGCACTCTTCTTTTTCCTATTAAATAAACGGGGGAGATTTAGTTGTTCACCATCTAGAATGTTTCATTCGTAAACTCAAATGAACTTAATGGATCTCTCAAGCTCTGCTCCCTTGTACCAAGATCCCCCCTGTCCTCTCCCTCTCTCTCACACACATGCACATAAACACCCTGTTTCTGTAAGATTTATACGATTCCTGTTCAACAATGGTGTTCAAAGAGGAAGTGCATTCCACTGTTCTCTCCTTTTACAAGTTGCACTCCCTCTGATCTCTGAAGCAAATTTTCAATGGAAGAGCTCCCTAGCAATGTTATAGCACTAGCACAGTAATAAATGATTCATTTTCTCCTTTGCCCTTCTACACATGCTACACCAGTTGGCTTGCAGGTAGCTCCTCTTCAAATTGTCAAAATTAAGAATGTACTCCAACATCTAGACAAAACGGAAAAAACTTTGTAGTAGCCTTTGTACCCCAATCCCCTTCCAAGAGGGAGGACAACTTGTCAACAATCCTCTCCCCCTCTCCTTGTGTCACGCAGGCTCAGCAGAGCACTTTATGGAAAGATCAGACACTAAAATTCACACCCTTCTACACAGAGCCGTTAATCCTCTCTCACTCTGTCGGAGTCCTGTTTTCCCCTTACTCTCATGCATTGGCAAGGTGCTACTTTGACTAGTGCCATTCTTTGAACTCCCCCTCACCTTCCAAGAACTTTCCAACACCTATTTGAGCAAGTAACAATAAAATAAAATAAAAAATTACCTGTTCAAAGTTTTCAATGCTGGTTTAATCAGAATTCATTAATGTTTGTGTTTGAATCTTGGATTTGTGGAGGGAAATTGGAAATAAAGGTAAAAGAAAAAATTTAGCATCTAATTCTATTCTCGTTTCCCTTTCATTTTCTTTTCCCTAGCTGTTTTAATAAAAAATTTCACATCACCATGCTAAATGATCTTTCTCTTTACATAAATTTCCATATTGAGAAAGGGGATGATTCAAATGTTCTATGTAACTTGATATGGACATTAGCTGTGAGTAATTGCTAATTGGAGTTGAAATTACTTTAAAGCTTCTCCCTTCTTTTTTTCCCTTCATTTTTTTTTTTTTTGTGTGTGTGTGTGTAAACTGTGCATCAAGGTGATGTCAATAAATAATTGCTTCTGTTTTGTTGTAAACCCTCTATCTGCTCATGCTAAAAAGATGTGTGTTTTGTGTTACTAGAGCCACTCTAGATATTATCAGGATAGGACTCAGCCATAGTACCTTCATGTATTCATTTCAGGTAATTGAATTTGTTCAATTTAAAGAACGATTACAACACTCTGGACAATATTTGATGGCAAAGATTGAAGCACCCATTCTACAACTAAAGCAGAATGCAGATAACATTAAAGACGAAGAGGTATTTTTTCTTCTCCTTTTTATTTTCCCCTCCACTTGATTGGGACACAATGCTTGGTTTGGTTTGTTTTTTCCAGTAAAGATTTTAAAGCTCTTGCTATTTATGCTACTATATAATGTTTATATGCTTAACAGAGGTTTATAATTTATTCATGTCCTTATAGTCTGTCCTTAAAAGCTTGAAGTGTGGAGTTCACTCTTTAGAGCTCTCAAGTGAGACTGGATGCAGATTTTTGTCCTTCAATGAGGATTTGCAAATACGGCCTTGGTGGACGCCAACATATGACAAAAATTATCTTCTAGGTCAGTATTGTATTCACCTCATTCCAATTTTTTTCTTAATTGCAAATCTTAGATTTCAACAATGTTCTTTTGGCACAGAACTTGTGCTAGTCTGTTGATCCTTCCCCCAAACTTCACCTCACAAAGATGTGGAGAAAAAGTTTTATGAAAAGATGCCTGGTAAAACTGGATGTTAGAATTAAAATATTTGCATCTCTTTCACAGGAAATCTGCTAAATTTTGTGGATGGTGTGTGTGTGTGTGTGTGTTTCTTCAAATTAAAAATTACATTTTCTTTCCTTTTTTTGATTGATTAGGCTAAATTGGCTTTTTATCCTTGATTGCAGGACCATTTGAAGGAGTATCTTACTGTCCTAAAGAAAATTTGGTATGGAAATTTAGTCCTTAACATCATACCTCAAATTTTCTGTTTGGTGTTATGGTGAAGCGTAAGAGGTGTTCTTGAAATATTGTTTAATAATTTAGTAGGGGAGTATTACTTTCTAATGGTCATCTTCAACTTGTTGGATTCAACTTATTGTTTAATAAAGGTTTCTTCTTCTTCTTCTTCTTTTTTTTTTTTTTTTTTTTTTTTCACTAGTAAGCATAAATTGATCCCCTTCAACTTGATGGAGTCTATAGTGGGACTGTTAAACGAGTCTATTAGCTGCTTGAGCTGAGTCCATTTCAAGTTACATGCTTGGAGAGCTTGTGGTCTGTTTGGCTGAAGCAATCCTGTTTATCAACTCAAATTGGAAAATTGCTCATGTTTTTAGGCTGTCAGCTAGTCCTTACATTTCTGTTCTAGAATCTGTTTTTAGAAATTTTGTGTGCACTTAATTATGTGTATCTTACTAGAAGATGTTTTATCTTGCTACATGCCCGACTGTTTTAAAAGGAGTGCAATTTCTGTATTATTGCTTAATTAAGGTTATTCTTATGTGGTTGTGTTTTTATAAAGCTCAGAACCTTCGTGAAAGTAATCTAGTGTTAATGGAATAATGTATTTTGCTTGTGAGTAATCTAGTGGCCTGGTTTGGGGTGTATCAAAAAAGCTAAAAAGTCAAATAGTTACAAAAAAAAGCAAAAAAGTTATCGCTATTCACAAATTAAAAATATTAAAAAATTAAAATACATAATATTTTAATCAAACAAAATTTACACAATTTACACAGCTGAAATGACCCTGTACTACCGTGAGAGGGAAAAAAAAAAAGAATTACATATATAAAATCACTAAGTTTGACGGGAATGTTGGGCCTGTGGGGGCTCACCACGGGTCCCGTTTTAATAATCCAAACCGTTTAATATGTAGAACTTGTCCAGAACTATATGCATGTAAAAAATCACGTTGATCTGAAATCGGTAACTACATGATCAAATTAGTTTTGTATAAAAAATGGATGGTGTTATAGTTAACAGTTGACAAGAAAAACTAACACGATAAGATAGCTATTGATATTCAATCAACTTGATTCTTTACAAGCATATAGTACTCTACAAGTTCTACACATTGAACGGTTCCGATTAGTAAAACGGGACTCGTGGTGGCCCCCATGGGCCGAACAACACCGTCCAATTTATGCCCGAAAAGGAGAGAATCAATCTCCTACACTATACCTTCTGCCTCGCTGCCCTTCTTGCTTCCGACCGTGCGGGCTATTCCATCTATAACTTTCCCTATACACTTATTTATACAATTTTTTAATACACATTTTTCCATAAAAAGTCAAAAAGTTAACCCAAACATCTATATTTTTTCCCTCAACTTTTTAGTCCAAAAAGACAAAAAGTGCACTTATTTAGGACACCCCAAACAACTCCGTAGAATAATGTATTTAGCTTGAGTGAGTTAATTAAAGTTCTATCCTTCATATTTGAACCTTGCTGCTGAAATCCTTCGATGTAGAGGTTATAAGAAATTTTCTTTTCTATGATATCTTTTATACTCAAATTCGAATCACAAAATAGATGTTCTTACGTCTATTGTACTGATGCCTTGCATTCTTGTTTTATATTTCCATGCCACATTTGGTTTGGAAAGAAATTCAGCATTGCATGCTAATTTCTTGTGTTTTGTGGCAGCAACATCACATTAAACGAACTAAAGCAAATGTGCCAAAAGCTATTGAGAAGAGATCCCTTCTTCCTCGGATGATATATCTGTCTATCCAGTGTGCTTCGTCATCCCTCAAAGAAAATATGGCAACCAATGGTTCCATGTTTGACCCTAAAGTCTCCTTGGAGCTAAAAATTCTACTGGAACGCTATGCAAAATTATTGGGATTTCCTTTCCAGGATGCAATAGAAGTGCTTTCTGCAATTTCAAGTGGCAGGAACTCTTCAGAGGTATGATTTCAGCATCAGTTTCATTTTGTGCTTTTCTTGCTATCGGTCTAATTTTTTGGTTAGTGATAATATGTTCAATGGTGCAAAAAGGGGATGCAGCCTAGTACATGCTAAAAGATCACTATTTTCATTGATAACACCACACCCATTGACCAATCTCCCAAATTATGACCATATTTCCCAACGACCACCCTCTTGCACAAACACTCTCCAAAGCAAATCTCCACAACCACCTCCCCAACAAAGCCTTTTTGAACTGCTCTTGAGTTTTGAATACCAAGACCACCAGCCCCTTTAAAGCTCACACGCCTTTTCTCAATCAACAAGATGATATACTTAATCTCCTTGCCTAAGGAGATCCCTCATCAAAATCTGAAGCCTTCTCACCACATAAAAATGGATAGTGAAGAGAGAAAAAGTAATCTTCGGTGTAATTGTTACATCTCTACAACTTTTTATTCTTTGGAGTAGATGCACGTTCATTTTAGAAAATTGGCTTCCTGTTTAAAAAGTTTTCCAACTTGGGCAGGCTTTGAGCTCGGACCTGATTGATTGGATGAACTTTGCCGTGTTTTTGAATGCGTGGAACATCAATTCAAATGAGCTCGGACCAGATAAAGATGCATGTAGACCTGTTTCTTTGCACATTGTGAATTCTTTGCTCGAGAAGTGTATCCTAGAGAAGCTTAGATCAATGGGACCGTTAATTTCATCACCTGGCAGTGATCTTCCTTTATTAGTGCAATTGGTTACTGAACCTTTGGCATGGCATAGTCTTGTAATCCAGTCTCGTGTCCGATCAGCCCTTCCGTCTGGAAAGAAAAAGAAGAAAGGTGGGCCTGCAGAGCCGACAAACTCCCAACTGTCTCAAGAAATCAGGGATTCAATCCAGTCTCTATGTGCTGTGATAGAGGAGGTTGCGAATTGGTTAAGAGAACAAATTAAGAGTCCCCTCGATGGAAATGTGGAAATCATACTTTCCTCCCTTGGGTTGAAAGAACAGAATGAAGGGCCCGGGAAGGTTTTCCAAATTCTACAAACTTCAATCTCGTCCATGAATGATGTAGAACTCGGTGATCGGATCTCCCAAGCGTTGAAGTCTTGGAGTCATGTTGACATTGCTAGAAAGATAGTAACCGGGCAGTCTACTGTACTGTCAGAGTTTCTCCAGATCTGTGAATTAAAAGTTAAATCATTACAGGCGCTGAAATTGCATGCATAGCAAGTTTGAAAGTGATCATTGATAGTTACACAAATTCATGCCTTGTTTGTGTTTTTTTTATTCTTTATCACGTTTCCTGGGACGATCTCGTGTCTGATGGTTGCCTAGAATGGTGTATGGTCGAGTGTTTGCACTTTCTGTAACGGTTATTATTTTAAAAATTTTTAATTTTCTTTTAGAATTAGATTTTTTGTTCAAAGGTGTACACTAAATAAATATGGGTTTTCTTCTCTGAGTGTTGACACTTGCACAACTGTCTTGTAATATTAATTTTTTAGCCATAGATTTTGGCGAATGTATTATTCAATTTTTCATGTTTTATGGTGGTCGTTAAAGTGTTAATTTTCACATCACTCGGAGGATATTGCGATCACTAGGTATGCTGCCCATTCTTTTTCTCTATTTTCAACTTTGAAGGACAAAAACAAAGATTTCTAAAATGGAGTAAAATATTTAGTGGTTCTGACCAATTGAGCCAAAGCAGGGCATGCTTTTTTCCCCCATTTTTTGAGAAAGTGAGCTCTGACAAAGTGGAATTTTAGGCTCCTCTTTGCTGAGTTAGTTGACTATGGTTGATTGGGATCATAGAGCTCGTTTGGGAAGTTGGGATTTGAGATTTTTTTGTTAAAATAATTATAAAAAAATAAAATAAGTTTTTTAACTTAACAAAACATTACATTCAACCTATAATCATTAGATTGTTAAAAAAGTTAAAAAGTTCTTCTCAAATAAGATTTTTTAATTCTAAGCTAACAAAATTAAAAAAGTTAAAAAGCCAATCTATTTTCCAACCGTGTTGGATTATCGTGGATTCCCCAATAAGAGGGATGTTAGACCAAAGAAATGAGGTGCTTCACCAAGTGTGATAAATGAGGTCGTGTTTTATTGTTGTAAGGTCGGGTTTGACAATTATTGTTATTATTATTTTATTTTTTTACTTCTGTTTTTTTAGAACTAAATAATTGATGTGCTTAGTAATTGTTAATTTGTTTTAGCATTTTAGCTAAAAACAAATATGTTTTTGTTTTTTGATTTATTTAGCCAAAAAAACAACTTATCAAATGGAGCTTGAGTGCAACAACTTCATTTCCTCTATTTCCTCCCCAATAATACTCCGTTTGTTTGAATAGAAAATATTTTCTAAATATTTTTCATATTTTTTGGTGATTGGTATTAATAGAAAATAAAAGTCAACAAAAAAAATATTTCTTATGATCAATGAAAATTAAGCCTAGACAAAAAAAATATTTTTCACTTTTTAAAAGACAAAAAACATTTTCTGAACTAAAATTTTACTAGTATCACCCTAGTACTGCCACCACCACAACACCATCACCATGCCACCACCTGCACCTCCACTTTCATCCCACCACCACCACGAAACATAAAAAATGTTCTCTAAAAACATTTTTTGAAAAAAAAAATCGTAAAAAATATTTTTCTTCCCAACAGACAGCATAAAATAAATTGATTTATGATTGAAAAAATAACCATCAATATAAATAATTAAGAAAAAAAGGAAATACCATTAGTAGGTATTTTTTTTTTATATTTTGCGAGCCGAATGTGATCTTCTTCATAGAAACAAACATGGTGGAAGATGCAAGTGTGTCTCACTTCATCTTCATCAATCATCGTACTTCAAGCAAGTCAAAAAGGAAGTAGATTATTAATGAGGGTGCTATTTTGTGCAACTTATTATAAATTAAAAGTTGATATTCTAAATGTAAAAGTCAAAAGCACATCCACTACAATTTTCAGATTATCAATTTTTTTAATTTATTTAAGTTGATTCTCCTTAATAAATTGTAAAAAGAAACTGCATCAAATAATTTGACACAAATTGCGAGAATAAAAAAAATTATAAACAACTTAAATAAACTACACAAAACAGCCATTTCACAACTTGACCTCCACTCTTTGACTATCAAATTAACACTACTTCGATTTTCAGAAAATGACCCCATTTGGTAATGAAAAATGTTTGAGGGCCACAAAATCAATGGCTCAAATAGCTCAAAACTGTCAAAACGACGTCATTTTGTGCCTAAAACGACGTCATTTTGACAGTTTTGAGCCATTTGAACCACTGATTTTATAGCCCTCTCCCATTGCTGTTAATTTAATACATTAGACGGCTCAACAGGCACATCAAAAACAGTTCTTGACCCAATTTACCAAAGGTAATAGTTGGTTGTTAGACCAATGCACTTTCATTGAAGTCAAGCCTACTTTTTCTAAAAAATATTTCTGTTGCCACTGCATTCAAGCCTACCATTTGTCTTTTCTTTTTTTGGTAAGCACATTTTAGTCCTACTTATATTCCTACCTAGCAATCCCTTTGTCAAACATTTTCACTCTTTGATGGACTATCTTTTACTAATGTTCTAAAGCCTCATCATTAGTGCTAATAATAGTTAATGTTGTGCCCATTGTTTGTTTGAATTCAGATGTTATCATGGTCCAATCAATGCTATTGTTCAAGAGATTGTTGATGTAAAAAATATTAACCAGGATGTTTGTGGGGTTTGTGCTAATAAAAAATGCTAGCTCTATGTAAAGCAAGTTTAGATATTGTCCATAGATTGGTGTATGACTAGTTTGGCTAACTGAATTTTCTTGCAACTGATTGATGTTTATAGCAAAAACTAAAAGTCCAAAGAAACTAGGGCTAATAGCAATAAAGAAATTTCTAAGAAAATGGGTTTAAGCTGCCATGGCTCTGATCATAAGACGCTTCTTATATAGATAGGGTGGGTATCGTAGGACTAACTTATAAGACATACATAGGACATGGCTAGTACAATAGTCACATGAGATTCTCTAACAACCAACAATAGAACAAATACTAATGTTTGATATGGTTGGCTTGCTAAATATCTATCTTAATCGTTGAAATCTTGATTTCCACATCTCTAGATGATCTTGTGATTTTTGTACTTTTTGGCTTATTATATACTTGTTGATATGTAGTGTTGAACTTTCTAATGTAGTTAAATGTAATTTTTTTGGTGCGGTGGAAGGGTGGGAAGAACCATGACCTTCCTAGTGAGAAATGAAAAATGTTTGAGGCCTCCATAATGCTCCCATAATTATACTCATAATGATGTGATATGATATGTATTAATTTTTAATTTGTTACACACTCAATGATAGTCCAACTCCCTTGACATATCATTGTAGGTGAATTTGTGAGTTAAAAATGTGAATCTCTAGCATTGCTCGTGAGAAATATAGGTTCTAACTATTGAACTAACCACAATAATTAATTAAATATCTTATTTGATGTAATTCTCATTATATTTAAAAACCATCTTCTACATTGACCCCCCCAAAAAAAAAGGAAAAAAAGAAAAGTAAAGAAAAAAGTAACATCTGATTGGCTGACATCACAAAGTGCCCTTCTAGCCCATGAAAAGTACTTGTTCATTGTCTGGAGTTTGTGTATAAGCAGCTCACCCTTATAATTCCTAACTCTATGGTTACCCATAACAAAATCTTCATTTGTTTAACCAATTGATAGAGCTAGTGGGTGCACCAAATCCTCTTTATGGTTGGACCAAGTTAAGTTGCCTAAGATTTTCAACCTCCTGGTTGACCAAGTTGTTTATTCCCTCCTAAGTGCACCATAAATCACTGCTCAAGCACAAAGTCGAACCCACAACCATGACTAGAAAAACAACTCGAAGTCTGAGGAGGAGAAGATAATGGAAGCTCAAAATCTCCATGTGAGACCATGGTGCGGTGTCATCTTCCCCAGCCTTGCTCTATTTGCTCTCATAGCTTCTTTCGCCAATGCGGAAACTCAATACCACGAATTTGTTGTACGTCTTCTTCTTTCTCATTCTTCTCTGCAGCGATATTGAGTAGGATATTAACAACCTCTTGCATTGACATAGGTTCAAGAAACACCAGTGAAGAGGTTGTGTACAACTCACAAGATAATTACCGTCAACGGGCAATATCCAGGGCCGACATTGGAGGTCTGGGATGGAGACACTCTCGAAATTAAAGTCACAAACAGTGCCCGTTACAACGTCACCATCCACTGGTAATCGTGTATGATTGTTGTTGTGTTTGTATGGTTGATAGTTAACTTGGTATATTGATAAAAAATATTGGCCACTATGTATTTGTATTTTGGACCTCCAATACCATTATATGTTGGCTGATATTATCCGATACGGACCTATATTTAATTGTATAGCCAACATCAATGTGTATCCTACCGTTATTTAAAATCATCACAAACACTATTCATCAGGCATGGAATAAGACAGAGGGGAACGCCGTGGGCAGACGGCCCTGAATATGTGACTCAGTGCCCAATCCAACCAGGAGCGACTTACACATATCGTTTCATGATCGAAAATCAAGATGGAACGTTCTGGTGGCACGGTCATAGCAGATGGCTCAGAGCTACTGTTTTTGGAGCACTCATTATCTACCCTAAATTGGGTTCCTCGTACCCCTTCCCGCAGCCAAAGCTTGAAATCCCTATTCTTCTTGGTAAATACCTAACACAATTTGTGCTTACTAATATTAAGGAACCAATATAACAGTCACTGACGATGATGAACAGGAGAGTGGTGGAACCAAGACCCCATGGATGTCCTAAGACAGGCGATTTTTACAGGTGCAGCTCCAAATATTTCTGATGCATACACGATAAACGGTCAACCAGGAGATCTATACAGATGTTCCAGCACAGGTTTGTAGCCAGTCCTGACCCTCATGAGTACTACCCTCAATCTAGCATTAAGCAGCTGACATATATCTAAATTACAATGTAGATACTGTGAAATTCTTTGTGGATTCTGGTGATACAATTCTTCTCAGAATCATCAATGCCGCACTAAATCAACAACTCTTCTTCACAGTAGCCAACCATCGACTCACTGTTGTTGGTGCTGACGGTGCCTACATGAAGCCTTTTTCAACCAGAACCCTCATGCTGGGACCCGGTCAGACGACTAGTGTCCTCCTCACTGCTGATCAGACCCCCGGACGCTATTACATTGCTGCACGTGCCTATGCCAGTGCCCCCAGTGTACCATTTGACAATACCACCACAACTGCAATCCTTGAATACAAATCCGCCCCTTGCAATGCCCAACTAGGGTTTCCCTTGAAACCAACCTTACCACGACTACCAGCCTACAACGACACAGCCACTGTGACAGCATTTACAACCCAAATTAAGAGTCCTTCCAATGTCGAAGTCCCCACTCAGATCGATGACAACTTATTTTTCACAATTGGGTTAGGGTTTGTCAACTGCAACCCTGGGCCCCAATGTCAAGGGCCAAATAATACCCGTTTTGCAGCTAGCATGAACAATGTGTCTTTCGTACTTCCAAGTAAGGCCTCTTTACTCCAAGCGTACTACCAAAGTATACCCGGTGTCTTCACCACAGACTTCCCGGCTGTTCCACCAATAAAATTTGATTACACGGGCAATGTAAGCCGTGCATTGTGGCAACCTACCTTTGGGACTAAGCTCTACAAAATTAAGTTTGGTTCTAGAGTACAGATTGTGCTACAAGATACAGCTATCTTCGCAACAGAGGACCACCCCATGCATATTCATGGACACCAATTCTACGTTGTTGCACAAGGCTTTGGTAACTTCAACCCTACAAGAGATAATGCAAAATTTAACCTCGTTGATCCACCACAGAGAAATACCATTGATGTTCCTGTTGGTGGATGGGCAGTCATCCGATTTGTAGCTGATAATCCAGGTAATATGATTGTAATCAACATAATGATTCAATATGTCTCATTGGTTGTAAATTCCTTAAAAGTTTAGTATTAAATATTTACCTGGTCCAAAACAGGAGTTTGGCTGATGCACTGTCACATAGATACTCATCTAACTTGGGGTTTGGCTATGGTATTCTTGGTTGAGAACGGAGAGGGCGAATTGCAGTCCATACAACCTCCTCCAGCAGATCTCCCTCTATGCTAAAATCATCAGATATCACAATCAATGGCTACAAAAAAAGATGGGAGTTTTCACTAGTCCAGGTCTTAATTTGGCTTCATTAAGCAGAAGATTTGGCAGGCTTTGCCTAAATGCTAAATTTTCCACGCCTAGAAAGAGTTGGCTTTCAAATTCATAATTAGTAACCTCAATTTCAATCCAATATTCTTATAGTTATTACTGCATAATAAGTACCTGACATTTTCATCCTCCTATTGTTCCTGCTATTCTTCTTTGCTCCTTTACGACACCTATGAAGCTTTTGAAACAGTGCAATGCAAAGGCCACCAAAACTCAAAACAAATAGGGGAATAATCGAAAGCTCAAATGGATGGTTCTACATTATAGGTAAATGATGATCTCAAACGGAGGAGGGAATTAAAGTGAACATTCAAACCTTCAATTAAGTTATTGGAAACAGGTGTACATAATGAGCCAGGTCTAGTTAAGTATCACACTAAAACAAGCTCTCTGTATAATTGATCTTGAGTTCAACTAAATCAACCCCCTACAAGTTTTCAGGTAGCACTGACCGTGCTAAATTTTGTAAAGAAGAAACAAAATAGAGAGGAAGAACAAAGCTAACTGACTGAGTTATCCATAAATATATACATGGACAGAAATGGCTCCATTGGCATGAAACCATGTAGAGGCTATGATTTGAACATAAAAAAGTGATCACTGGATAGCATATAAAATAAAAGCTCTGAAATAGAACACAAAGTAAGCTCCAAATCATTTTTGGAAGCCCAAGCCTCTCATGAATTAAGCAACAAATTTCAGACAACGAGTATCATTGTGTATAGTCTGGCAACGGATTGCACAGAAGCGCATTCCACATCTTACGCATGTATAGTTAGCAGTAAATCCACAAACAGTGCAGAAATGGCGGCGGGAGGTGGAGCTTGGAGGGCCCACAGCTGCTCTTAAATACGAGGGCACATGAGGAGGCAAAGATTCCAGGTTTGCCTATTTTTAAAGAGGGATGACCAAAAATTATCAGTTCCATCCAGTCTCAAAGGAAACTAGAAGCCAAAAATATAAATGTGAAAATGAGAAGTCACAGTTCTATTTTTACCTCGTTCACAAGTTCCAGGAATGTTCTTGGGGCCTTCTTCGCATTCTCAAGTGCTTTTGCCTGACGGGTTTTACGTTTTGTGCTTTTTGACTGCTTCCTCATATATGCTGGAAAAACACACACGCGCACACACAAAAGATGTGTAAAGAAGAAAAATAGAGGAAGACAAAAGCTAACAAAGTAAGCAGATTCATGCAAACACTGCAAGAGGGTCTTAAACCCCCAACCCATCAAGACATGATGACATGCAATGGAAAAAAAAAGGATGAAACACACAAACGAAAAGGAATGAGCTCAACCAGTAAACTGATATTCATTTCATTCTTTTTCTTAAAAGAGAGAGGAGGAAGAGAAAAGAAAGTATAATTGCTCCAACTTGCGGACATAAAGGAAAGAATTTAGACCACTGTATCTTGGATTGTAACCAAAAAACCAATGCACCAGTCAGACACCAAGCAACTTTTCTAATTATGAGAACAATAACTCTCACACCATAACTCATCAATAAGTTCAGGTCATTTCTTTGTCCCTTGTTTCCTCTGCAGTTCTAGCTTGTTCAAATTGAACTGAACAAGACAGATCCCATCAGAACAAACCCTGTTTTTAATTGACCATTCAATTACATTTAAAACATTTTAAAAGATGAGAATGTATCTTTCCATATGAAGTGTTGCAAATTGAATTTTTTCTTGACTAACCTAGAAATGAAATCAAAACATCCCAAACAGCTTGCATTAGACCCTTCTAAAAGAAAGGAGGGAAAATCAGATTTCAACATGGCTAGTTAGTCTTTTGAAATCTTTGCAACAATGATGTGTTGCAGACAAGGTGTGCACTGAAAAGATTGAGAAAGTAGTAGTTTGGATTTTAAATTGTCAAAATCAAAACCAAAATGGTTGCCTGGTTAGGAATGTGGAAGTACTGGCTGTTGCTAAAGAAACGGTCTTAAGAAAAAAAACAAAAAAATCCCATGCTTGCCATAAAACTAGCCTACCAAAAACCAAAACTTATCTGAAAGTGAATATAAGGGCATTTCCAACCCTTGACTCAAACCTATATCAAATTCAAATTTGGTAAAAATCACAGAAAACACTCTCCACTACCGACTCAAATTTATATCAAATTGAGTTTTATTCTTTTTTCTTTTTTTAACCCAAATCAAAGGCGACTCAAATGATTACTCAAAATTTTAAGGACCAATTTGTAGCTTTCAAATTTACCACTCTACCAATTCAAAAGTTTTACTCAAATTTAAATTTATGCTCAAATTTGAGTTTGTCCATTGGAGTGCCCCATATCAAATAAAGCTTTTATTCAAATATTTACTCAAATTTAGGTAAATTTTTGAGTGAGGGTTGGATATGGCCTAAGACATTGTTACTAAAGTTGTTGTGTTGTGGATATACATGAAATGAAACACATGGAATAAGCACTTCCTAAGCAAAAATTTAAATTAAAAAAAAAAAATGATAGGATAATTAGTAAAGAGAGAAGAAGAAATAATTGAAAACAGACCTTGATCATCGTCGTCAAGAGAAGCATCATCATCTTCATTAATCTCTATCATCTCTGCCCCTGCATTATCATTCTCCAAAGCTTCAAGACGAGCAAGAGCTGCCTGAAAGGTTAAAGATTCCAAAACTTTGAATTAATCCCCACTCTTACAATTGATTTCATTCGACCATTATAAAACACTTAAAAGATAAGCGAAAATTGAAGTACTTGAGAGGAGGACCTGTGTTCGATTGTCGTTGCTCGCAAGAGCAGCTACCATTTTTGGAGCAACCTTGCGAGTTCGGCTCGACATACGGCGAAGTGGATTGCTAGTATCCTCGTCCATTGCTCTGCAATTAGAAACTTCAATTAGGACCAAAAATCTTCAAATTTCACCAGGAAAAGAAAAGAAAAGAAAAGAAAAGAAAAGAAAATTCTAGATAAAGAAGAAGAGAGATGACCTAAGAGTTCAAATTTCAGCTGGCAGTGGCGGTGCCGGCGAAGGTGCTGAATCGGCGGTGGTCGGCCCACGGCGGAGGGTCACCTGGGCTGCCTTGAAGGCCAAATCGAGACGAGGCAAAGACTAGGGGCCTCAGTTATGAAAGAGATGAGGGTTTTAGGCCGTGTTTGGTTTAGGGTTTTAGAACTTCTCTATTTTAGGGATTTAGAGAAAAATTTAAAAATAAATAAATAGAACGTGAATAAATAAAATTTATTAACCAAATATAAAAATATTTTATTATATATAATTTACATCTCTAATATAAATTTTAATATAATAATATGTTTTTATGTCAGTAACAACTAATATAGTATTTTTTTTTATCTAACTTTAAATAAAAATTAACATAAAAAACCAAACGCTAAAAAATTGTGAAGCAGAAACAGACAAAGCCCAAGTTTATCCATGAGACCATTAAAAGCCCAAGTTTTACAGGGTATACATGTTTGGGTTGGGCTATAGGCTTTTTAGACGGTAGGGGCTCAAACCACAGCATTCTTGCAGATCAACTTTGCAACCATGGTTATTGGTCACTATTACTATACAGGATTGTAGGCCGGTGAATATTCATATTGGGCCTTTAAAAAATAAATACCAATCTTTGACAAAAGCAAATTTTTTTGATGGGTTGAGTTAATGACTTAATGGTTGAGACACCTTTAACTATGGCCTCGTTTGGTGTAACTGTTAAAACAATTAATAGATTATAGCTTAACAGATTATAGATTATGACTTTAATCAGAAGTTATTAATCTGTTTGGTGTAACTGTTGGATTATAGATTTAAGTTGCTGAGTAGTGTTTGTTAAATAAATTGTGAAATAGCTTTTTCAATTAATTTTTATTTTTTGTTTGTCTACATTTCTCATAAAAAATAATAATAATAATCTATGTTCCATTTGAGTCTTTTTCTATTTTTAAAAAAAGAAAAAATAAAAAAATTTAAGAGTATAACCATAAATTAACATGTCCACAGCAGAAGCTGATAATCAGAAGCAAGGGGTGAGCAGCTTCTCAGAATCAGTTTTTTTGAGTTAAAATAAACTATTAGAATCAGAAGTTATTTGAAATAAGTTTAACCAAACAGTCCAAAATAACTTTTTCAAAGCTAAAAGCCATAAGTTGGCTCTGAAAAGCTGAAACAAAGACCCTCTATATCTCTCGCTTAAACAATTGTAGCAGTTGTGACACTCATTGAATTTGCACCCTTCCCTTCTAACATTTCAAATTATGAATTCTTGTCATGTTTTATCTGAGCAAAGATTCTCTCTTTGCATTTTCTACTTCACTTCTTCCTTGCAATGATCAAGATTCATTTTAAGAGAATTTAATGATGTAGATCCTTCCAAAAAAATTATTTTTTAATTTTTAATAAAGTAATCTGAGCCATTAGATTCTTTTAAGATGAATCTTGACCGTTGCAAGGAGAAAGTGAAGTAGGGAATGCAATGAGTTAACATGTCCACAGCAGAAGCTGATAATCAGAAGCAAGGGGTGAGCAGCTTCTCAGAATCAGCTTTTTTAAGTTAAAATAAGCTATTAGAATTAGAAGTTATTTGAAATAAGTTTAACCAAACAGTCCAAAATAACTTTTTCAAAGCTAAAAGCCATAAGTTGGCTCTAAAAAGCTGAAACAAAGACCCTCTATATCTCTCGCTTAAACAATTGTAGCAATTGTGGCACTCATTGAATTTGCACACCCTTCCCTTCTAACATTTCAAATTATGAATTCTTGTCATGTTTTATCTGAGCAAAGATTCTCTCTTTGCATTTTCTACTTCACTTCTTCCTTGCAATGGTCAATATTCATTTTAAGAGAATTTAATGATGTAGATCCTTCCAAAAAAATTATTTTTTAATTTTTAATAAAGTAATCTGAGCCATTAGATTCTTTTAAGATGAATCTTGACCGTTGTAAGGAGAAAGTGAAGTAGGGAATGCAAGGAGAGGATCCTTGCTCGTTTTATCTTATCAATTTTGGTTTTAAGGTTTTTTTGTTGGCCTTCTCAATTTGCTCATTTCAGACAATCAATTCCTGGTGTCCCTATTTGGACCTATTGTAGTTGGTCTTTTTATCTGTTTATTTGATCCTTATAATTTTAATTGTTTTAATTTTACTCATGAATATTTTATATTGTCAATTTAATTCAATTGATAATGTCGCTGGTGTGGAGTGCTCTTGGCCATAGATTTTTGAAATGTGTGGATAAGAAAAAAGCAACACGTATAAAATTTGGTCGAGACTCGCAAAATGTCACGGAGTCATGTACCCCAGTAGATTTTGGCAAATTTCCAACATTTAAGCATTTAATTTTGTGATTTTTCCACTTTTGATTTTTATGATTTTGACTAGATTTATTTCAAAAAATTTCTTTTTCTTTATAGTATCCAATTTTTTTGGTAATTTTCTAATTTTCTTTGATTTTGTTGTGTTAATCAGAAACTGACTTTATTTGACAGCTTCTGAGTTAGGTTAGAATTTTCTTATCATAAATAATGATTGTAAGTTGTTCGGTTGATAATAATTAATACAGTTTCGTTAAGAGAATTTTCTTATTTTTCCTATTACTCTCATAATTTTCAAATTCAACAGAGTGATTAAAGAGTTGTGTTTTTCTTGTTATTTTAGATTATACTCTTCACGTTTGTTGTTGCATTAGTCACTTTACAAGTTAGACAAAAATCAAGGGGTTCAAATAGTCCATTCACTCCCCCACAAAGTGATTGAGATTTGAAATAATTCATTCCCTTTAGAATAAAACATTTTGCCTTTTATTTTTTATCCATTTTCTCAAACAGATGTTATGAATTAAGCTAAACTGACACAACCTAAGAACTTAAATGTAAAGTTTGATACAATAAAAAAAACAAACACAATCGACAAATTATAAAAAATCTTAAGTGTAATTTTCCTCTTACAAATCTAAGATTCAAACAATTGTGTCATTGAATTCGTAACATTCTTGCATTTGGCTTTACTCCCAATTTCCTTCCCCACTTTTAGGGCACGTTAGTTTGGGATAGACTGGATAAGGGAGAATTGTAATCCATTGGACTGTTAATCCTGGATACATAGGGACAGAGGATGTTGCCGTATGTGCTCATGGAAGTTTATCCCAGACCTCTTTTGATGATCCAAACCGTTCATATTGTAAGTTTCGTCAAATATATTATCCATAAAAAAAAATAATAATTGGATATATGTAGCCCAACAACAAAAGCACATTTGTTTTTTAAAAAATAAACGGTTAACATGGTTTTAATAATTTTTTTAAAAACAATTAGGTCTTGATCATAGGGTTACGATTGTTTGATTAACTTAATTTTTTGCAACAATGATATGCTTGATGAACCCTATAATAGCGATGGTTAGGATCATCAAAATAGGCTGGGGATAAACTCTCACAAGCCCTCACAGTAGGACTGCTATGCCTTTGGGCACAACAGCAACCCAGTTCTCAAAAAATGAATATCTTAGTAAATCCAATATTTGGTTAAAATATTATGAAAAATAATAAAAGACTATTGTTTATTAAATAATAGCAATAATAAATCAGTCTTTAATATTTTATTTATTTTGCTAGAACTTTTAAAAAATTAAATAAATAAAACATCAATAAAAATTAAATAAATTTATTTTATTTTTTAATTGAGACTTTTAAATTTTATTTTATTTTATTGAGTACAATATATAATAAAACTAAATAATTTGTCTATGTGGTAGTATTTTTTTTAGTATTTTTTTTTTTTTTTTGAATCTTTACCCCACTATTTGAAAAAATTTGTATTTGTATCCCATCATTTGAAGTAAAAAAATAAAATAAAAAGAAAATTAAAATATATGTACTTAGAGGCCTAAGCGTCTTTTTACAAGTTAATCTGATTATTATTCCACATTTGTATCCTACCACTCTTAGGACACAATAATCCCACGTATGAAGGGCATGAGTTCGGTTGGTCTTCAAATCCGACTTATAAATTTTTAATCAAATAATAAACTTATCCATGAAATTCTATGTTTTATTGACTATAAGCCTATTTTAGAAATTTAGTTAAAAGTCGATTTTTTAACTTTTTAAGTTACATCATATCTCTATTTTGTTTTTAAAAAATATATATACAAAAAAATAAAAATAAAAATAAAAAACTTTTACTCTATTTTTCAAAATAAGCATATATTTCGAAACTGTCAAGAAATGCGTAGGTGTAATCCATTGACACCTTAAAAATGCAAATGTGTCATTGGTTAGTACGGGTAACAAACAATACGTCTTGTTTGAAAATATATTATTTTAATAATTTTTTAATTTTTTATAAAAAATATAAAAAAATAAAAAAAAATAATATAATAATTTATAATAATATTTTAATTTTTTAATTAAAATATGTAGTTAACAAATAAGACCTATTAGTACAAGAAGGATCCTAAGCCTCTCTTTGGCAAGTTGGTTCATGGGTTTTTTTGGTTATTTTAACTACAAAAGACAAAATAGGCTATTTTAGGCATAACAAATAAAACATCACATCCAACCCATAATCATTACACTCTTCTCTCACAAAAAAAGTCAAAAAAGTCAAAAAGCTAAAAAGCCCTTCTCAAACCAAACTTTTTAGCCTAGACTAAAATAATCAAAAAAGTCAAAAAATTAAAAAACCAACCCACTCCCCAAACGAAGCCTAAATAATACTAATTTGAGTTAAACTTTGTGTGTTGCGGCTAATGATTTGTGAACTACACACAATAGTTGTCCCTTAAACTTGGTCAACATATTTGACCCAGCTCATCTCCCCAAAACTCCAACAAGATCCCATCTGACCTGTATCTCAGTGTGTCTTGCTGTTCCAGCTTGTCAAGAATTAGACTTCTAACCCTAATAGCGGGCCTCAATTCAGAAACTTCTAGACCTATTATATCCCACTAATACTGTAAACTCATAAAGACTAAAGTAAATTACTATTCAGGAGGAATTTAAAAATATTACTACGCCTCCGTTTGGAAAGTGGGTTGGCTTTTTGACTTTTTGATTTTTTTGACTATTTTAGCCTGGGCTAAAAAGCTTGGTTTGGGAAGGGCTTTTTGGCTTTTTGGCTTTTTTGACTTTTTTTGTGAGAGAAGAATGTAATGATTATGGG